CATTTCCTAATTCAATCTCATAAATAAACCTTTCTTTACAATATTCTTTTTCATTTTCAGAAAGCTCCTTGTTTTCTTTGACTAATGAAAAAAATTTATCTTTCATACCTTCTCTATCAGAATTAACCAGTGGATCATTACGCATTTCAACATTGATTTTAAATATGAATTCCTCTCTTTCTAGTGATAATAAATCATTATATGACATTATGTAAAAATAAAATTTGTTTTAATGAATAGAGCAGAAAAAATGAAGTTTTTTTAGTTTTTTTGCAGAGAATTGAATAGTGTGTAACAAACAATTCTCATATAAATAAATTAGAGTGACGATAACCACCACCATCACCATTCTTATGATAAACACTTACTCTGAAATAACTTCTTGCTCTTGATTTTGATTTCTTTTTTTATTTGATTCTGACATTTTTTGTAAGAGTTATTTAATCAACAAACGTGATTAACAACTAAACTACACAGTGAATCTCGATTTAGCAGATAGTTTGTACAATTTCCCAAAAATCCGTTAAACCGAAATATCCGCTATATCGAGAAGGTTTTTATCAAGATTTATTATCAGTGTTGAAAATTCAATCGGGCGTATCACGTTACACGAGCCGTGTGCACGTCTATTTTTTTTTATTATGAAGAAATAATTTACAAAATAAAAAATTAAATTAAATATTTCTCCTTTACTTTCCCAATTTTCATATGCTTTTAAAAAATCGAAATGTTCAATTTCTGGATTATTTAATAAAACCATTAATGATCATCTAATGTATTTAGATGCATTTATTTCTCAAATTGTTTTTAATTAATTTCATTTGAGAAAATATTCTTTTCTACATGAGCATTAGAAAGAGGTATAAGAAGTGCTATTCAAAGAACTATTACTATAGTTGGTTAATTAAAAGAAAAAGTAACCATCAGTATCCAAAATATGTTGCCATAATTGAATAAATTCATTTCTCTATTATTGTTTTTATAATATTGAAATATTTTCAAGCACATGGAAATTTGATGTAACGTGATATTCCCTGATTGAATTCTCAACACTGTTTATTATAGAACTGTTCTTTGAACTTTATCCATAAAACTGAGATTTTTAATTAGTATCCACTAAATCAAGGTACGCTAAATTGGGACTCACTGTGTATTATTATTGGCACTTGGTGTTGTACAAAGATTTGTTTTTTGGGATCAGACTATTTTTTTTTTTGGAAAAACAATCTTATTTTCAAAGATGACAAAATGTGAGTCTCCTAAAGAAGTGTCAATAACAGAGGTACTATTTTTTATTGTATTAATATAATGTCTTTTTAGTTTATAAATATTTAAATTGGAATCAAAATGTGGAGCAGAACTTGGTATTTTTGCTTTGTGTAATCAGTAATATTAATATTAATAAATAATTACAAGATGTCATTCAAGGCAGCATGACTGTCACAGAAGAAATAATTCAAGTATGTGATGTTTGATTATTGGAAATTGACAGGTGTTGAAGCATGCACACTACCTTGAACACTTACAGTCATTCTCATGTCTTCCTCATGTACAAAAGGCTAATCTGACTTGGTAGGCTGATGATATGATGATGTAATGAATTCTATATTATAAATTGTTTATAAAGGAGAAATATGCCCAGACTTTATCAAGAATGCATCAATTGTCAGGGACACTTTCACTAATCTTCCTCACAGCACCAGACCAGAGAAGGCTGCTGGCACACTAGCTGAAAAGTTGGTGTGCTACCAACAAGACAACAACCCAGGACTCAAAACTCAGAATTCAGGGAAAATCCAAAACAATAACCATGTTGCAATCTCCCAAGTTGCAGAATTTTGAACAGTTGTAGATACCAACTTTATTCTAGAGAGGTAAAACACACAAATACTGATCCTCAATGCCCATATGGCAACAGCAAGCCTAGTCTGAGAGGAAGATTAGGGAAAGTTTTGTCCAAAGCCTTCCCAACATGGGTACAGCCAAGTCTATATCCTAGTCTGTGAAAGGAAATTCTATAGTTATATGAGGGTGTAAAAGAATCACCAATCTCTATGTTGGTGATCAACATCAGATTTATAATCAGGAAAAAATTTTTTTTTAGATCCTTCCTATTCATTTATTCTTGTGAACCCCAGAGATCTGGGTAGACACACATTCATCAGGATCTTAAAAATTAAATTTATATTGTGTTGATTTGCATTTATCAGCTATATTCTATTGCACTACTTTTAAATTGGGTTGTACAACTTTAAATATTGACTAACATCATGTTGTTAAATGAAATTAGTTTTACAACACAAATTATAGTACTAAGTTTAAAGTTTAATATACTTTAAATTTTTTTTTCTATTCATTTCAAACTAAAATTCTCCTTTATTTTTTTTACATTCTTTTCACATTGACCTTGTAAAATTATTTCCAAGAAAAATGAAGTGTGGTCACCTTGAACAGAATTGGTATCTTCATTATTTTCATGACTTTTACCACAACCTTATTGGATGGAGACAAATCATCCAATGATTGGTATGGTTACTAAAATCATTCACAGAAATATTTGATGGTGTATGGCTAAGTTTTACTGCAAAACAACTGAAAAAGGAGGCATATTTTATTTTTTAGCATCAAAAGGATAATACTTTTTTGACAACATTTCATAGATTTTATGAAATATCCATATACACCAAAGCAATTGCATATGCATTCCCAAAAGTGTGCTGTATTGCTTTTAGATGTGTTTACAAAGATATATCAAGCATGAAATCAGTATCCTTTGATTATTAAAACTAA